ATAATGAAGATGAACATTCATGTGGTTAGTTGAACTTATTAAATTAAAAATGTAAATGATAATAATTTTTTTAATTCCAGGTATAAAAAAATGTCAATTTGGTTTTTCGTTATGTGCAAATGGTAGTTGTATTGAAACGAGTCATTTTTGCGATGGAAAAATAGATTGTGCAGATGGACATGATGAACGTCATTGTTCACATTTATCAGCAAGTGAGGAAAATTTTTTCGAGTATTTCAAAGAGAATGAACTTGTTAGTATTTCAATAGCCTTTCTTTTAGTATTCATTTGTTCAAACTTTTTTCAATAGAATTTATCATTGAATTCTGTAAAATTTTGTTAAATTAAAAAGAAAATTCATTATTTTCAAGAATACACTCCAAATTAGTAAGCCAAGATAAATACTTTTTTGTAAATGAATCTTGAAGTTTTTTGACTACAAATTTCAATATTAAATCAACGTGTACTATTCGAAATTCAATGTTTCTTGTTGATGAAAAGAGAGAAAGTTGTTCTATTATGACAAGTGAATCATATGATGTTTCACAATGTTCTGATGAAGTTTTCAATTTGATACTAATAGTCATTTTTGACCATGAGAGATCAGATCACGCTCAGTAAGTTATCTTTTACAAGTTCTAAAATATCGAAAAAAAACCTTCGAAATATATTGTAAATATCATCAACACGGTGTGAAATCTCACAGAACAACTTTTTCTTTTCATCAACAAGACATATTTGACCATCAGATAAACCATATTTATTTAATATTAAATTGTGTAATGATTGATATTTACTTGGCGAAAATGATATAGAATTGAATGACGCATTTTATTGAAAAATTCTAAACCAATGTGTGTTAAAACAAATACTATTGCAATACTAAAAACCTTATTCTATATGAAAACTTCAATATTTTATTTTCATCTATATTCTTAGTACGCAATTCTGATTCATTATTATCATCAAAGTTATTTATTTGTTCAGCGTCATCAACACTTATAGATACGAGACTTATATCATATGATTATTTTTGTGATGGATAGTAAGTAAAAACAAGATCAAGATTAGTTCTATATAAAAATTTATTAATAATTAAATTTTATAGTAAAGATTGTCCTCTGGGTGATGATGAAAAAGATTGTACTGATGAATGTACTTCATCATCTCAATGTATTCCGAATGCTAATGTGACTTGTATTCAACATCGTGCAGTTGGTAAACTTTGTCGATGTCAAAAACAAGGTTATCGATTAACAAATAATTCATTACAAATTAATACGCAAATATGTCAAGGTTTGTTTTCGAATTTTCTATTGTTTTTTATTTATATGATAAATAATCATTCGTTAAATTAGATTTTAATGAATGTAATGATTCTCTTCGTACATATTGTTCATTTAATTGTTTAAATACAGATGGTAGTTTTAACTGTACATGTCCATTAGGTTTTACTATTGATGAAAAGACAAAAACATGTCGAAAAATAAATGGTTTGATTATTTTGTCTTGTTTTTATCTTTTTTTGAAAATTCCTTTTTTTTTCTCTGACAAATTTTTTAATAGATCAATCCAAACCAGATTTATTAATTGTATTTGATAATAATATTATTTTCTACAATATTTCGAATGCTACTGATCGTTATTCATCAAAATTATTACATACAATTGATATTGAAAAAAATCATCATTTGGATTGTATACAATATGATTCAAATAAAAAATTTATTATCTATTATAATCAAAAACAAAATGCTATTTTATGGTTCATTTCTTTCTATCTTGTTTTTTTTATAATTCAATATAAATATTTTTATTTCTTAGTTTTAGTACATCAAATACAATTTTCAAACCTGTAATTCTTATTTCTAATGTTACTGTTCATGGTTTATCCTACAATGAAAATGAAAAAACTTTATTTATTATTGAAAATCAATCACAAACATTACGAATGTATACACCGATTACTTGTGATATTTCAATTAGTATCAAAATGCATTCATGGCAATTGAATAACATTGCAAATTCGATACAATCAATCGAAATTGATGCTTTCAATAGACAAATTATTTTTGCTTCTCATTATGAATTTTTGATATCAAATATGTCCAAACCAAATTCAACGAAAGTTTTATATACAACCGAACGTGAAATAAAAAGATTTATTTATGGTATGAAAATATTTATTAAGACAAATGAAAATAAAGAAGAATAGATAATATTCGATTGTTTTAAATAATTAACTTAAAGTTTTGAAACTATTTGTTTTAACTATTAAGTGTCCTTCTCTATTATCTAGAGATATGCAGCGCTATTCTACCCTACATGTTAGAGTAGGACGTTAGAAAATTTCTCTCAGCTAGGATATAGTGTACAAAAAAAGCTTACCCTGGACATTTCTAACGTGATACTATTTTGCTATTTATTACTTTAAGTCTTTCAACCAAAATACGAATCAGTAAGAGTAAGATAATAGCTTCTTAGAGTAAAGATTAGACAATTTTTTTCACAAGAGAATCCATTTGATGAATAGTTACTGTTTCACCTCATACATAGGACTCATAGTGTAAATTATAATTCGGAAAGGGTTCATTCTATTAAGCCTTTCTCCTTGAGTAATGATCATTTTACTGAACTTTCATCCTATCATAAAATATTATGAGAAAAATCGTAATGTACAGTTTCGCTCTGAAATTCTTCCCTGAAAGTAGCTCTTATGATATCCTGAACATTTCAGCTTAAGCGGATGATTTCTTCTTAAGATATCGTATAATTTAAAATTGGACTAGTATTCAAAATCTTGTGTGAAAGTGACAAGTGATCTCAGAAAAGAAACATCCCTCTGAATTGAAACTTTCAGAATATCATAAGGATCATGAGAGCTATCGTTCACTGCACATCTTTACTTTAATCTTAATAGCAAACTCAAAAAAAAAAACTATTTTCTTTTTTGTATTAGATGCTTCATTCAAACGCATCTTTTGGACAGTAGCCGGTATCAATAATAATAATGAATTTCCTGTTTATACCTGTGACGGTGAATTTAAACGATGTCATGATACATCAATACGTTTACCGTTCGCATGGCCATTTACATTTTTTAATGTATGTATTTTTCTTTTATTATTTATTTCAAAGAAATTGTTTTGTTTAAATGGATAATTTAGGATGGTTTACTCTATTCATCCTCATCATTAAAATCTTTAGATATGATTCAACTTTATGGAAATGATCGTTTTTCTAACTATTTTATAACATCAACACGAGAAAATATTCGTTCATTTTTACTTATTGATTATCAATCAATTGCATTAGTAAATCTCTGTATGAATTATTCAACAATACGTTGTAAAAATAAAGTTTGTTTACAAATAAATTCAACAGAAATAAATTGTTTATCAATTGATGAAAATATTATAACAAAAGAATTAATAATATCAACAACAAATACAAAGAATTCAACTCTACAAAATGAAACAGAATCATTAATATATGATAATCTGATTTCTGAAGGAGCAAATCGACGAAAACATTATCGATATAGACCATCGAATACTATGCTTTTTTGTATTATTATTTTTGGTGTTTTAGCAGGCGTAAGTTAAATTCTTTAATATAATACTTTATTCATTTTTTTTGTATTTTTTAATAAGATATTGGCACTTTTTGCTAAATATTGTCAAGTCTACCTTAATAAAAAAGCATTATCTAACGTACAAAATAATAATGAACAGTATTTATCAACAGAACAGCCAAATTTAGATGAATTTACTGTAACATTCAGTGAACAAATGTCTGAACAATCTGCTGCTGATAATGTATGTAATATTCTTATTGATAACGATACTGTTCGTTTCGTTCAACGTCGAAGAGATTCTGTTTGATATTAATTTTTTTTTGATTTTATTTTTTTTTTTTATAGACTGGTGACCGATTGCCACTAACCAATTACTTACATTATTAGTTCCATAGGAAAAATCACTATCTTACTAACAAAAAACAAAAAATGTAGTTTGAACTATTTTTAACATCGGGAATATTTCATCGTTTTTATTTTGTTAATTGGCCATTCCATAGGTGATTGTTTTCTTTCTCAAATCCTTCCTCTTTCATATCATTTTTCCTATTCAAAAGCATGTCTTTCCTTATGGTGCTTCATTTTTTTTAATCTGCTTTTATTATAGCTCAAGAACCTGGTTTATGTTTACCATGACAATAAGCTATACCTTCCTTTTTTTGGTTTTGATGAGTTTGTTGTTCAAATTTTAAAATAAAATTTTTAGCTCTTATGGTGCGGTATATAACTTAAGGCATAGAAACAATTATTTTGTATTTAAGAAAATGAATAGATGAAGCTTTCACATCAAATTACAAGACTGATGTTTGATAGCACAATAAACACTATGAACAATGCTTTTCGTAAATATGGGTAACAGTGAAAGCCAATAAACAAATTCATCTTATCATCAATTTGATTCATCGTTTCAGAAATATATTGCTTCAGGATATTACTTCTAGATGCTTAATAGAACATAGTATCACGTTTTTTTTCCATTGATTATTATAAATTGCGGCATGTATTGACAAGAAAAGACACCACTAGAGATCGTTGAGTTTGTTTCAGACGGACTCGAATTCTTTGAAAAATATGTAGGGTGTTCTAGTCGCCGATCACAAAAAAAAAGAAAAATAATCTCGTATCTTCAAGGAAACCATTCAATTTCGATTAGAAAATTATTGATCCGACGGGGTTTATTTACGAGAAAACAAAACTAATGATTTTTTTTTTTATTTAGAAAAAGCTTTATTCGTTAAGAATTTTATTAGAATTCGTTTTTCTTTGCCTTGTTCATACAAGAATATTCAAAGTTGAATTCTTTTGTGAAAGTTCCATGATGTATCGTTTTCCTTCAATACCAATTTGATTTCCTTTAAGGTTTAGCATCGTCAGAGTCTAATATAGCCAATAAATATTGAAATGAATGGAATTGAATAAGAACTTAGATTACTTTGTTTTGTTGTAGACCATTAACAAGATATTGTACTCCTTGTGTTCCAATATCATTATCTTCAAGATCAAGTGTAGTAAGAGTCTAAAATAATGAACAAGTAGATATTATAAGTGAAAGAAGAATTATTACTTTGTTTTGTTGTAAAGCATTGGCAAGATTTTGAGCTCCTTTTGCTGTAATTCTATTGCTTGCAAGGTTAAGTGTCTTAAGAGTCTAAAAAAATAAATAAGTTAAATGGTAGAATAAAAGAAATTAGATTACTTGATTTTGCTGTAAAGAATTAGCTAGATAACTTGTTCCTAAATTACTGATCATATTGGATCGAAGATTTATTGTAGTGAGTTTCTGAATTATTTGATTAATTCATGAAATAATAGAATTCAAAAAACTAGAATTACTCGATTTTGTTGTAATGCATTAGCAAGATGTTGTATTCCCTGTGGTCTAATTTGATTCGAACGAAGATTAAGTGTACTCAATGTCTAATATAATTAATGAAATAGTGATAATATAAAAGAAACAAAAAGCAAGAATTGTATTACTTTATTTTGTAGCAAAGTATTAGCAAAATACTGTGCTCCTTGATCACTAATTCGATTATTTTCAAGACTTATTGTTGTCAGTGTCTAAAGTAATGAATAAATGATGAAGTAAATGAAAGAAATACCAAGATTACTGTGTTTTCTTTTAAAGCGTTAGCAAGACTTTGTGCTCCTTGGGGTCCAATAAGATTGTGTTCTAGATCTAATGTAGTTAGCGTCTAAAAACATATGTAAGCATGCAAAAGGAAGAAGAAAATAGACAATCGATATTACTTTGTTTTGTTGGAGTGCGTAGGCAAGAGCTTTTGCTTCTTGATCACCAATTTGAATTCGTGAAAGATCTAGAGTGATCAATTTCTATGTAAAACAATAGAAAAAATGAATAAATAATAGAAAGCACAACAAGGAAAATAATAATATTCATAAATAAATTAATAGATAAAATTTATAGATTTTGTTTTATATTTACTACTGTTTCTGATTGTTTCTACCCATGTGAATTGACAAAAAAAAAACGTATTCCGGTTGTTTTCAGGTTGTACTGTTCTCTCGATCGATGACATGAATCCTTTAGGATTCATATTTACTATTGTGTCAATTATGATTCTATAAATATACTAAATTAAATAATTACCGGATCTGCGAGTAACGATTCAACCGATTTTTGTACTTTGGGATTGATGCGTTGAAGCAATACATTTATTTGTTTTGGTTTTGCAAGTTCAATTGATGATTTTTGCATAGGCTCTATAACACTCACTCTTTTCTTTAAATACTCAGTTGAAGTTTTTTTGAGTGGTGGAGATACAGATAATGACTGTGGAGGGCGTAACGTAAGAGATTTTCTGAAATTATTATTCATCATAGTCTTTGCAATTCGTCGAACAGGAGCAATCACTTGATGTGTTGGTTGAACTTCCTTCAAGTGAATAATGTGTAATCCATTGCCTGCATCGAAACAACCTGTTACTTGAAATCGACAAGCACAAGGCAGTAACACTTCTTGTTCTTTAGGATAAAACGAATGTTTGCAAATTTTTTTACCAGATTTACTATCAATAATAAATAATGTTCTTGCTCCATTTTGACCCAAAATATATTCATTATTGAGGACATCAAGAGACATTGTACATAATGTAAAACCCCACCATACAAATGTTCTTCCCACAGGATATTGTGCCATTAAATTCAATTTTACAGCATGATAAATAGTAAGACGAGTAGAATCTGTTGGAAGTTTATTTAAAGCAGTCATCATTAATTTAAGATAACGAAACCATAGTTTCAATAACGTTTGATTTTTTGTTTCTAATGTAGTATTAAGAATGACATGAAATGATTTGTCTATTGGCTTCCATTTTATCGTATATAGTAAAATTGAACTTGATTCATCATTTGTTAAAGTATTTTTTGCTATATTAGAATGTTTTTTCACTGTCGAAATCATCTCTTCTAGTTCTGGGACAAATGGAACGAGTGGATAGACAGCTTCTTCCAAAGAAACAAGTGGAATGTTGTTATCCTCTTCGATAAGGTAAAGCATTCTTGATAATTCAACTGTCGTATCAGAAACATTAGAAGAATCTATGAAATTATCCCTATATTTAGCAGCCATATTCAAATAAAATCTTAAATAAAAATATTTTTTATTTTTAACATTTAACTAAATCGAAAACAATTGAACATTGTTAATGTCTATTTTTTTTTAATGGAGTGTATTAGAATGAAAATTATTTTCAATGTGTGTTTCTGAATGTGATTACAATAAACACAAAAAGATGAAACATTAATTCCATTATTACTACATCAAGTCTTATTCATTAATATTTTTAACAACCAAATTAATGAATAGGACAAAAATGTTATGGTTTCTTAATAATTGATGATCGGGAAAATTCTAGAAAATATATTTCTTTACTTTTGACCGTTTAGAAAATACTTTCGATGAGTTACGATCAAAATTTTGTACTCTTTTCGAATGTGGACTTAAAAATTTCATCTCAGTTTATGTTTGAGAGTAGTGAAATAATCTTCGCAAAGTCTAAAAAAACATAGATTCGACGACAATTTTTTTATTTTCACTATTACGATCAGAAACTACCGTATGAAATGCACTATTTGAAATATTTTTTGTTTTTCGAAAAGACACTTTAATTTTCGTTTTTCCGAAATATTCATTTTTGAAAAATCGACAACTGTTTTACGTGAAAAGGAGCTCTTCAAAAAATGATTGAATGTAAGTTACAGCTTAGCTCAATATCACATTGTATAGAGAAAATATTCGCTTTACAATATGACTGACTCCGAAAATCTTTTGACTTGTTCGAACGGAACTTACAAAGTAATAAAAGCCCTTTTGATTCACCATTAAAATAATTTTTCAGGTCTTTCAAAATAGTCCCTAATTACTCTTGAAAAAAATAGAACATTTCGAAGCACAAAATTTTGATCACAATCTAGAGCTTTTGACTCTTAGAAAAAACTTTCTAGTGAGTTAAAAATAAATAAAAAATTTTGTCTAAAAACTTCTCAATCACCTACTATTGTCGGAGGCAATATCATCTGAAATTTTACAAGTATTTTGAAATATGCTAGCTCAATGATACATCGTGGCTTTAATGAATTTGTTCAAATTCTCTCTATGAGATATATATAGAGACAATATGAGCCAATAGTTTGATAACAGATGGACTTCTAAATCAATCATAAAAAAAATAAACAGAATATGGTAGATTGCCTTAGGGAAAATGAACCCGACAAAATCCAAAAAAAATTGGTAACGTTATTTTCAATGAAAACATTTCATATAAAAAGATTTGGTTTTAAGTCCTTACTAACAGACGATAATAATAATACAAAACAAAAGTTCTTACATTGCTGTATACTGAAGAGATAAAAATGACTGCTGACTCTTCACAAGTAAAGAATGAAAGCTCTTTTTTCTTATCTCCACACAACATGATATTTATCTCCGACAAACTCTCAAGGTCACAAATGAAAAATAAGTACTAAAACTAGTTTGGTTCTTTCTTTAAGTTTCAAATAAGTAATCTACAGAAGTTTAAATGATTAATAACATAGTTATATATGCTATTGATTCTTTACACTCATGTCTTTACAATCGAAGAATTATTAAATATAATAAGCACAGACTTGTGCGGTAAACAATGTTGACTCTGTTTTAAAGGGCGATGATGAGTAAAATAAACACTTTGGAATTCTAAAATCATTGTTGTGTTTTTTCTATGAATATTATATACATTCAAATTATAACGATTATAGCATTCATTCTAGATATGATTATATCTACTAACAATTTTTTTCAAATATTATTCAAAACGTATAATGCAATCATGTCTATACATTATTCGAAAATATACATAATAAAGTGTGCAACTGTCCAGATAATATTTTGCAATGGTATCATCTTCAAGGAATTTCTAAAAATTGATTGAATTGCTCTACATTTGATTATCTATCGAATATATTTTACTTAAAATAAATGATGAGATCAATTCTTATACAGAATCACAAAAATGCCGATTATCAATAGGTTATCGAACGTCAAATCGTGTTAGAATTACACTTGTTCGGGTAAAGGAAAAGTGGTGATAAGGGCATTTTTTTGCCCACAATGTCTTTTGAAAGAACTACATACTCTGAATTAACATGAAATTCTGAGTAAGATGAGGTACTTTCTTTTGCCTGTTCCTTGACGGACGTCAGAACCATCAAAAAACTTTTTTCAAGTTTCATCGAATCAAGCATTATCAGACCCGAAATTTGATGGTGATTCTAAATTTCGTATCTCCATTCAAAAAACACTAAATTTTAAGAGAGATAGACTGATATTGGAATATGATGCTGGCAGAAGCCTATTTTCATATACTGTCCTTAGGCGACCTAGTTATACCATTAGAGAGTCTAAGACACACACAATGACGTGCTCTTCAACTTTTTAAATCGAAAACATATTAGATAAGTCTATTCAAACTAAGTTCTCGATAGTTGCGGAGTCAAATACTCAAAAGTCCAAGAAAAAAACAGGTTTTAGGCTTTATGAATGCTATTTATGACACTAACCAAATCTTCAACCAAATATATGACATATATAGATCAATGTAGTTTCTCATACTCTTTCTGAATATGATCTCGAAAATGAGAAAAAAAAAACATGGAACATGCGCTGCAATAATGGAACTATTTATATGAAATCACATTAAGTACAAATTTATGATAAGGAATAAGCCGCAATAAGTATTTTACCTACGACATAACATAATCTTTGTTGATTTAATTTATTTAGGTGTACTCGATAGTGTTTTTACCTACATCAATGTATATGGGTTAGACTTTCTAATCGTATAACTCGGTTGCCTAAGGACAGTAAATGCAAATAGGCTGCTCGCAGCATCGTATTCTAATATGAATTTTTCTCTGTCAAAATTCAGTTTTCTTTGAATATCAATTCGAAATTTGGAATTGTCATCAAATTCTACATCGCATGATGCGTGATTCGATGACGCTTGAAAAAAATTTTTTAATAGTTCTGACGTTCTCCACAGGTGCCACAGGATAGGTAAAAATATGAAAATCATTTCTTGAAAAAAAAGCATCTTATGTTAATCAGACTTTGATGCTGATTCAGAATGCATACTTATTAGGGTCTGGATGGTTTACCCTACTTCTTTTATTTTCTATATCTGAACAAACCGAAAAATGTACGCACACACATATTTATATATATTTCACTATCCAGGGAAACATGTTTATATGTAGATAGTGGCGGACGACTAGATGAAAAGAAACAGATATAGAGGTGAAATCAGTGCAACATGAAAACGAAGAAAGGTGAGAAAGAAAGAAGAGAAGAAAATAAAAGAACGAAAAGATGATGGTATATGTGAGGGAAAAGCCCGTAACAATACTTCTTTTCAAGAAACATTGTAGACAAAAAAATGTCCTTATCATCTCTTGTCCTTTGGAAAATTTCATTCGATGATGTTTCAAAAAATTTATTAGATGATGATCGTTTTTAAGAATAGAATAATCTTCCTCTCCTTGTTTCGATGCAATACGAGCAACTTCACTTGTTTGTGGTACTTGTTTGTGGTCCTATTGAATAATAAATTGTTACATAATCAGTTGGAATTAATTTGGTCTTTGAAAAAGAAACCAAATACGATTTATAATAAATAATCAATAAAATAAGACTTTCTGTTAGCGGTGACTCACCCTCATTCCTGCCCCTTGATGATTTTTTTCTCTCTCTCTTCTCTTCTCTATTGTGTTGCGATATATATGGACGAAAGTTAAGGACATTCAGATACATTTAAGTAAACATAGACTAAAGCTTGTCAAGGCAAGCTAAAAATTCTTTTGGACGTTTTTGAACACGACTAGTCATTTCATGAATAAAGACCTTCATCTTTTAATGATGCATTTAGCTGTGTAGTCAAGTAGAACAACAAACAATTCATTAAAACGAAAGAAGAACTCTAAGAAAAAAAAGAAGAGAAAAATAACAAATTCGTACTCCTTATTCAGCAGTGGTTTCAAGCCAGAAGTTGGTTTTTAAAATGATTGAGTGAAAACCTTTAACACTTTGAGGACGGGATTACTCTTGAAAAACATCATGTTCTTGAAACTTTGAAATAATGTAGCTGCTAGAAAGAAGGTGTATCAGGATACAATACACATAGTTGTGTAGATTCACATCGATCGTGACGGATCCATAGCCTGTACCAAATGTATATCACCACTATGCCATAAGAGACATACTCAAGTGCGTTACGAACCGATCGAGAACCGTTGCCTATATATAGGCTTTTTGCCCTAAACGGTTAAAATCCATGTCTAAAAAAAACCTTGTAACATACGATTCGATATGCCTTTATCTTCTCTTTTTAAATATGAAAATCGCAGCTTTCTATCTTGTTTATATGAAAACTTTTTCAAAAAATTTCCATATTCCTTTTTTTAAAGAGGCATCAGTCTAAATTTTTAGGGGGGTTAGTATGGAATGTAATGAAAGTATCCGATTGTAGGTGTCAATCAGTCGGACGGTTGTATGATTGATTCAGTAGAATTAGAGTAGGATAACCATAGACAAGTATAAGATAATTGAATTCTACGTGTAGAGAACACTCAATAACATGTTAGAGTTTGTCATGAGAAATGGCGGGTGTACTCGGAAACTTATTGAGCAATTAAATCAATTTGTACAGAAGACTAACATTGTAGTTAAACTGACGAAATGGGCAGTAAAATGATTTTTGTCGCTTGTTATGCCGTGCGTCATATATATTATCATTGAAAGAAAAGAACCTATTCGTAGAAAATGTATCTGACAACAATTCTGTCAATACGATCATGTGAAATGAATCTAATAAATTTATGAGGCAGGAATTTTAAATGCAAACATTTTCAAAACCATTAAGTTTCAGAGGGCACGTTTCGTTTATAAAAACTGTTAGAATTTTGATTTATTTAATCATTCAGACGTTTTTAATAGAAATTATCTTAAGGATCTCTACATGTATATCATAAATTTGTAATAGTCAGACTTTGTAAGTTGCATATTTTGATCGGTCATAGGGCCGTACTGACAAGTCT